CATTGGAGAAAGATGAGGCTCTCTGCTGCCGTTAAGATTTATATGTTGTTGTTGTGTGCTGTGGAGAGAGTTGTTGTTGGTAAATGCCATAGAGTAAGTTCCAACCCCAAGCAACCTGGTGTAGGGCTTCTGAGGAGTGGCTGGTGAGTTTGAAGAGAATTTATATCTACAACTGTAGAGGCAGACAAGTTTCAAGTTCATGAATCAGATGTCAGGCGGAAGGCTTCTCCTGACTCACGTTAACTGCAGGAGCCGACCAACTCAAGATGGGCAGGTCAGGCAGCAGATGTGAACGAATCCAAGGTCATCAGGTAAGAGGGCAGGCTCCTAACTCTAGTGCAGAGGTCAGATGACAAACCTGATGCAGGATCCAGACCCAGCAAAAGCAAGCAAGTGTCCAATTATTAGAAGCAGGCCACACCCCCAAGGAAACTGCCTTTCAATTGATTGGCTGCTCATAGCAGATCTAATCCTCGGGGGTTACTACATCTTAACTGACAAACCATTGAGAATTCTGGCCCAAATTGATACACTATCACAATATCCAAAGCACTGTTGTTGTTAATGCCTTCAAGTGAATTCCTGCGACCCTGTACAGGGCTTCAGAGGAGTGGCTGGTGAGTTTGAACCACTGACCTTGTGGTTTAAAGTGGCCTTATCCTATAGTGCCACAGCAGGACTCCAAAGCATTGGCTTTTGTTCAATCTGGGTATCGGACCTACATTTGTTATTCTGGTAGTTTTATGTTCATAAAGAAACAGCAATGGGCCTGAGTCAGAGGAGGAGAAACAGGAATTCCAGGAATGAGATCTGTTGGCCCGAGCTGCCACCAGGCTGCCCTCTGGTGGGAAGTCAGTCACACATCACTCCAGCTCTGGCCTAAGGGTCTTTCAGTATGGGGTTCAGGCTCACAATGGGCTTCGTGGGCAGCTGGGCCCTCACCTCATGTGTTTCCTTTGAGTCTCTTCCCTATGTTCCTGGACCTTTATTTCCTCTTCTAATGGGTGCATGACATGAACCCCATCTACACAACATAGGACTCCACTGTGAGGCTTTTGATGGGGAGAGGAGGGAGCTTCTGTGGCTGATGGAAGGGGTGGACCATGAGGGGAGGAGGGTGGACCAGAGGCAAGGTAGAATGTCGGTGGGCGGAACAGACAGGGACCCATCCTGGTGACCCAGCAGGTGCAGGAAATGAAGAGTAGGTCTCACCTGGGAAGAACTTGGGAGGCTCAAAGTGGGCCAGGACATGACTGGGGATGGCCCTGCTAAGTGCGGCATGTAAGGAGGACGAAGATGACCCGGTGGGGCTTCATTTGCCACTGTAGGGGCATGTTCAGGTTCTGTATGGGGCAGAGTCCTGGAACTTGTTCCATTTAATGTGGTCTTTGGTTGGGTCTCAGCTCAGTGAGCCAGAAGCTGAGGCTCTGCATGGGGCGTGGTGTCCCAGGCCCACCGCTCCTGCACCCTTCACCAGGAAGGCCCTTTGCCTAGGTGCTCAGACCCCAAACGCACCATCAAAGTGGGACCCCCAGTTCTGCCTTCCCATTGCCTTCACAAGATGAGGCAGACACCCAGGCTGGGTCACGCAGCCCCTCAGCGATGGGGCTGGAGAGCAGCTAGGAGATGTGCAGGGAGGGGAGTCTCGTGACAGTGAGGAGCACCCAGGCTGTCTGTCCTTCCTCCTCAGCAGGACTCCTGTCCAGCATACGCGCATGTTTGGTGACCACCTTCTACCTAGGAGTGACGCACGGCATTTGGATGTCAATGAGCCACACACACCTGAAAGGGAGTCAAAAGGCTTCATTTGGGAAATCATGGATTCAACACTGCATGTCAACATCAAGAGTTCATACAAACCACAGTATCAGAAAGAGATTTGAAAGCTCTTTCTGAAGGCACTAAGAGTATTGGACAAAAAGTGCTATGAAAGTTTATCAGTTTAAAAATCCAACAATTCACTGGAAATTACTGACAGCTTTTCCCCCTTAGAAACTGCAAAAATATACATGTTTACCTCCCCTTCAGACCCCACTCCCACATTATATTTGGTTCTAATAATTTTTCAGCTATTTCGTGAAGTTCATGGAGCACCACAGCTAACCACAAGGTTGGCAGTTCAAGCCCACCAATTGCTTCTCGGGAGAAAGATGAGGTTTTCTGCTCGTGTAAACATTTACAGCCTCAGAAACCCTGTACGGAATCACTGAGTCTGAATCGACTGATGGTCCTAACAACAGTAACTAACTACCGTAAAGCGGAGGGAACCCTCTAGCTAATAGGATGGCATGGCGTTTTAAAGCAGGACTCAGGAAACCTCCCACATTCCATCATCATCCTCCCCACACAGTATTTTAAGGGAGACATGGAGATGTTTTTTAAAGTGCTGGACTTGGGGAATTTCTGTTGCCCGCCTGATGGACCAGGCAGGAAAAGGGACAGGCAGTCCATCAGGACCACGGATGCAACACTGGGCCTCTGTGCATGAGGAACCCGAAAAATGTTGGGTGGCTCCAGAATATAAACCCACAAAGCTGACAGCCCAACAGAACAACACTCCTTGCCCATCAGCCACCTGCAGCTTGATGACCACACTTCTGGGAGGCTGCAGACGGAGTGGGGAAGGGGTCTGTTGGGGGAAGAAGCCCGCCTGTGCTTCAGAAAGTCTCCTCCACAGACGCTTTCACCCAAGGCTCCAGGACTGCAGCTCATTGGTTGAGTCTGAGGCTTGGGCCGTAGGTCCCAGGGATCCCAGACGCCTCTAGAGTCTATCTGTCTGGTCACGTGTCTTTCCTTGTTGTTTTAGTTCCAGTTGTATTTAGTTCCTGAATGTTTAGCTCCATTCACAAAACGGACGAAAGCCTCCCACTCCTGCACCAGCTTCATGGTTGTTGGTCTGGCTGCACACAGTGGGAGTCCATCTCACCGAGGGGCTTGTCATTTTCTCTGACCCTCTACTTTAGCAAAGGTGCCCTGTGAGTGGCATCATGGGTAATATGCTTGGCTACTAACCGAAAGGTCAACAGTCCAAAGTCACAGTCCCATGGTAGGGGAAAGGTATGGCTCCCATAAAGATCAACATTCTTGGAAACTCTATGGGACAGTTCTACTGTCCTTAAGAGCCGGAAGCAATGCAGCGGTGGGTTTGTGGGTTTTCTACTTTAGCAAAACTTTAAAAAGTGTCAATTGTCAAAGACTTCCTAGTGCTCAGATCAACCATTAACACTCACGAAAGTAGCAGTCAAGAAATCCACCAGTGTATTGGCTACACCAGACCTCTTTAAGGTGTTCAAAAACCAAGGTGTCAGCTTGAGGACTAAGGTGCACCGGACTCAAGCCGTGGTCTTTTCAAACGCCTCACAGGCATATGAAAGCTGGACAGTGGATAAAGAAGACCCTGAGGGGAGCCGGCTCCGGAGCAGATGCCCTTGTCAGGGGTCCAGCCCCCTGAGGCCCTGGCGTGCTGTCCCTGGACTGCTCTGCATAGCTGGGCTGGGCCTCTGCCAGACCCTGTCCTGTTAACCCCTTAGTGTGCATTATGGGCTGTTGACACTGATTTCCTGATTAATGCTTTTGTTTCCATTCTCTGCAGTCAGAATGATAACCTTTAAGGATTTTCCAAAAATCCCTTTAATATGCATCATCTGTCTTCCTCGTCTCTAATAGTTTCCCGGGAAGGCAGGGCAGACTGCCTCATCTGTCTCTCACAGAGCAGCTGGTGGGTTTGAACTGCCAACCTTTGGTTAGCAGACAAGCATTTAAGTACTGTGGCACCAGAACACCGTTCAAGGATGCATTCCGTTTTTGATTTAGACTCAAAGCCACGTTTCCAAGGCAACTGCCACAGCAAACTCCCTTGGAGCCGCTGGTGGGTTTGAACCACCAGAATTTTTGGTTAGCAGCCAAATGTTTTAACAACCATGCCATCAGGGTTTCCTCGTGGGAGAGGAACTGGGTTTGAGAATTGAGAAGAGCTGTAACACAGACAACTTGACTTCCTATTTCTTTTCTGTATTTTGTATTCCTCTCTACCTCCAATGCGGGCCTCGGTAACCTCTGTATTACATTATGTCCAGAGAGAGGGAGGAGAGCATCACCTGCCATCTCCGGAGACATTTCCAGAAGGAACTTTCCAGTGGGTGTCACTTTCCACCCACTGACCACAGGTCGCAGGCTGTAGGAAATGCGGGGCCAGGCGCCCATGGCTGCTTTTGACACTGTGGCAGTACTTGGGACTTTCTGGATTTCTTCCATGAACAGGGGACGTTCACCTTTAGCCTACGGAGTTAAAGCTTGAGTTTACCGGCTGCTTTACAACCAGTCAGTCCTGCCTTCCGCGCACCGGCAGAGGGCGGGCTTGCAAGGGAAACGTTGGAAGCCCCAGGCCAAGCGTCTGACCTCGCGGATGGCGGGACGGCGCAGTGCGAACTCCGAAGCCGAGGCTGGCGCAGTACAACAACGCAGTTCTTCCAAGAAAAGTGCTGTCACATGGAAAGGCTTGGAGTCCACTTTGCGTTCAAGGGATACACGATGTCGCTCACCTAATGTCCCAATCCCTGGCCCGCCTCCGACTTGGACCGGCCGCCCAGCTACGGCTGGAAAGTGCATTCCGGGGCTTTGGAAGGGATCGGCGCCGCCAGGACGCTTTTGGAGAGCAACGCCGGCACCCCAGCCTGGCTGTGCGTGGCCCACGACGGCGAGTCCAGGGGCTCGCGCTTTACGACGGGCGCAGACCCCCTGGCATCGAGCCGCAGCGTACACTGGGGGCTTGCGAGGTCCTGCTGCGCGCGGCGGGGAAGCTCCAAGCCCGAATGGCCGCGCCCGCGCTCCAAGCAGGCGCAACTAGCCGGGTAGAAGGGTCCGGGTCTGGCGGTGGCCCTGTAGTTAGGCCCGAAGTGCGGGGCATAGGCAAGGTGCTTGGAGTCCGCGCAGGGGTGCAGGTGCCCCGGGAGGTCCGGCTCAGCCTTCAGGAGCATCCTGTTAGGGAAAGTGACTGGGTGTCTCCTGGGCAGGTCACTGGCTCCCAGCCATACCTGGCCCGGAGGCACCGCGTAGCCATCCGATGCCTCCTCGGAACCAGAATCGCTTTCCACTTTGATGGGAACATCCAGTGACAACATGGAGTTGCACAAGGCTCCAGGGGGCACGGGGGCACCTTGCAACTTGGTGTCCTCACTGGGATAGCCCCCCAAGGGAAAATGCTGCATCACAGGGTGAGGGAGTCCATTCTCCATGCTGCCCTGGGGAAGGTGGCAGCTAGTGGGTGGGGGCCCAAGGGCCTGGTCACAATCCAGCCAAGACCTGCTGGTCCGGTCACAGTGGGCGCTGGGGGGACCGTCCAGTGGGTGGGTGCTCGGTGTATTTCTGAAAGCAACCACCCCACCTGCATTGAAAGTGCCCTGGATGCCTGGGTAGGGCACACAGGCGCCCCGGGGTTCGGCCCGCACAGAGGAGCCACTCCGACAGGGCTCCAGCTCCAGCTTCACTCCGCTGCCCTGGTTGTAACGCTCTGCTGGCCAGCCTAGATGCCTCATCTTTGCTGCGGCTTCAAAGTGGCAATTGTATGTGTGGACTCCCCTCTGTCCCCTTACTCCCGAGGGGCCACTCAGCATCCTTCCTCGGGTCTCTTTGTCCCTGTCCGGGCAGAGAAGACAGAACCCATTAGACAAAGCAGTGGGACAGTGACCCAGTGGAGCCCTTGAGTGGGGGTTCCCAAAGCAGGGACAAAATTAGGGTGATAGTTCATCCAGGCCCCTCCCCACCCTACCCCATTTCTCCCACATGACAGGCCCGAGGTCTGGTACCAGCATCCATGTGTTCATATGGAGGAACTCTTCTCCCATCCCTAGAACCCATACTCAGCCTCAGCACCATGCTCTCCAACACACTAAGTGCTGCCTGCGTACATCAGAGCAGAACTGTGCCACATAGGGTTTTCAGCGCCTGTAAACGTTCATAAACAGACTGCCAGGCATTTCTTCTGAAGCACATCTGAGTGGTTAGGAGTCCAGCGCGTCCTCCGTTTGCAGCAACGAGAGATTCCAGCGTTTGTCAACGGCAACACATATTTACTGAAGACACACTTGTGCCCCATCCTGTGCTGGGCCCACAAGACGTGTGGTGCAGATGGGTTGCGTCTAAAGCCGCGTCAACGCGGTCTTCCTCATTATTTGAAAGATGCCCTTGTTTTGTATTTATTCTTACAGTTTGGCCTGTCCCATGTCGAGTAGACAAACGATGGCCGGGTCAGAACTTCAGTGCCTTGGGTGTCCGGTGCGGCCCAGCTCTAGCCAGGAGTCCACACTACCAAGCAGCACAGCCAGCCCCGGGTACCACGGCAGCAGCTCACGGCCACGGGAGAGGAGGCCCCACACTCACTGACTTCTCCAGAATCCTTACTTACCTCGGGACTTCAAACAGTGGTTAGGACAGTGTACAATCAGAGTGAGGCACATCTCTACGGTTGTTAGGGGCTGTCGAGTTGGTTCCGACTCACAGTGACCAGGTACAGGTTTTCTGAGGCTGTACATTTTTATAGGAGCAGAAAGCCTCCTTTTTCTCCCTTGGAGCAGACTGGTGTGTTTGAACTGCTGACCCTGTAGTTACTAGTCCAGCACTTATCCTACAGTGCCACCAGCACTCCTCATCCCTACAGTAAGTGGGTCAAAATCCAACAAAAGAAGCAAAGAGAGAAGCATGTGTAGCCTGTGACCAGGTTCCGACTCAGGGCGACCCCTTGTGGCTCAGGGGAGAACTGCTCTACAGGGAGGTGGTCTTTCAGAAGCAGATCTGCAGGCCTCTTCTCCAAGGATCCTCTGGGTGGGTTAAACTGCCAACCTGTCCGCTAGTAGTTGAGCATGTAATGATTACCTCCCTGGGAACTCCGTCTGCCCAGACAGGCACTGGGAGCCCATCCAGTGCATTCCCACTGAGTCTGAGGGGGCCTCGGGCGGCTCGGGGTCTTGTCAGCAGAGGCAGCCTCTCGGAGAGGCTGCCTGGGGGAGGGGAGGAGCAGCCTGTGCCCCGCTGTCCCAGCTCCTTGGGGGGAGGGGGGGGTTGGCACGCACTCTGTGTGTCTGCGTGCAGCAGTAAAAATCGAGGTTGGTTGTTGCATACAGCTAGACAGACCAGAGACTTGGCCAATCCCTCTTTTCTTTGTTCTTCAGTGTACCCCCCACCTCCATTCTCAACTGAGGCATCCTAGAGACCAGAGCTGGACAGTATTGCCTGGCCCCACTTACCCTGCAGCCCCCTCAGGATCCAGGGTGACGTCGGCACCACCAAGACACAGGCACGAGGCCCTAGATGGAGCCCGGGCCCAGCGGTCGGTGTCCGTGTGTGCTCTGAACACTGAGGTGTCCTTGTCGCCGTTGCTCCTTCCTGTGGAGATATGGAAAGGAGCAGGGGTTGTCCCTATGTGCCATGAACTGTCCCCGAACTCATGGCATTCTTGGTCCAGGGACAAGGCACAGGGACAGGTAACCACCCCCACAGTTAGCAGACATGACATCCCCTCTCCCATAGACGCCACGGAATACGCCAGGGTTTCCATGGAGCAGGCGGAGCCCTTGCTAAAAGCAAGGCCGAGAGAGGGAAACGCATTGTCCCCATTTGAAAGGGATCCGACAGTGAGTTCAAAACTGACCTGCAAAGTAACTAGGCTTCCGGTGCAGCCCAGACTCACACTGACTCGTGGTCGCTTTCGCCCTGGGAAGAACAGACAATGCATGTTAGTTGTGTGAGTTGCCAATGGCAGCGTCACTGCGCAGTGGACGACTGAACGCAGCCTTATGGCTTTTCCTCGGTGATGTTGTTGTTGTTAAGTGCCGTCGAGTCAGTTCCGACCCCTAATGACCCTGTACAGGGTTTCTGAGGCTGTAAATCTTCACGGGAGTAGAAAGCCTCATCTTTCTCCCACGGAGCGGCTGGGAGTTTCGAACTGCTGACCTTAAGGTTCACAGCCCAATTCGTAACCACTACGCTACCAGAGCTCCTATAGATTTGCTAAAAATGAGCAGCCGTGTCGATTTTCAGGCCAACAAGGGTTAAAGAATTTAATTCAGAAAACATATACACATACAAGGGCACATAGTTAAGTGCTGTCCAGTTGCTTCTGACCCATAGTGACCCTGTATAGGGTTTCCAAGGAGCAGCTGGTGAGCTTGAACCACCGACCTGAGATTCAAGCCGACCTTGGGGTCAGGTGCTTATTCTACAGTGTCACACATAGAACAACTTTAAATTCTTAGAATAAAAATCCTCACATCTGGGCCAATAAATAACATCATGAAAAGCAGAGAAAAGACTGAAGTTGTCAAGGACTTCATTCTGCTTGGATTCACCACCAACACTCATGTTAGCAGCAGTCAAGAAATCAAATGGCATAGTGCACTAAGCAAATGTGCTGCACAAGAGCCTTTAAAGTGTTCAGAGGACTAGGGTGCCTGCCCCAAGCCCTGCTAGTTTCAATAGCCTCATATACATGTGAAACGTGAACAATGGATAGGGAGACAGGAGAAGAATCTATGCATCTGAATTATGATAGTCGCCAAGAAATGAAATACTGCAAACTGCCAGAAAAACAAACAAATCTGTATTGGAAGAAAACTCAGTCAGAAAGCTCCTTGGAAGGGAGGATGTTGAGACTTTGTTTCTCTTAATTTGAACATGCTATCAGGATGGACCTGGAGAAGGCCACTATGCTTGGTAGAGGGTCAGAAAAAAGAGGAAGACCCCCAAGGAGACGGATTTGCAGTGACAATGACAATGGTCGCAGACACACAACGCTTGTGGGATGGCACAGACGGTCACTATGAGTCAGAAGCAACTGGGTCGATGGCACCTAAAAACACAATGATTGTTTTTCTTCCTGCAGAGACCAAAATGAAAATACGTCACAAAGTCCCTATCAGAAAAAGTTGTAAAAGACTCTGAAATGACCAAAAAGAGAACCCTTCCCAGTTATCTGGTGCCCTGCATGGCCTAGAGCTCAGAAGGAAGGACTATGGTGCACACATTGAGGGCTGACTTGGGAATTCAGTCCAGGGGAGGGGGCGGGAAGTCAAAAAGCCAACAAACCAGAAGTGCGTCAGAAGAAAGGTCTGGTGATTCACTTCAAAACAATCAGCCATGAAAAACCTTACGGAGTCCAGTTCTACTTTAATACACGGAGGATCCCCATAAGTCAAAGTTAACTCGAATGGAAGAGGAAGTCAAGAGAAACCACTGGTTTCACTTTAAAACGGTGGGGTGGCTGTTGGTGTTAAGTGTCTCAAGTCGGTTCTGACTCCTAGCAACCCTGTATAGGGTTTCCGAGGAGTGGCCGTCGGGTTTGAACCGCTGATGTTGGGCTTAGCTGTACAGTGCTTATCCTACAGCCACCATTCTTCCCTGAGCCTTCTCTCTGAGTTTTAATCATCCTCTTTATTATAGTTTGTTATTGTTGTGTGCCAGTGAGTCAGTTCCAACTCATAGGGACTCTGTATAGTGTTTCCGAGAAGTGGCTGGTGGGTTTGAACCGCCCACCTTTAAATTAGCAGTCCAGTGCTTGTCTTACAGCACCACACTAGGCTCCTTATGATATGATTGTGCTCCACGGAATCGGTTCCAACTCATCGCCCCCCTGTATAACGTTTCTGAGGCTGTAAATCTTTACTACAAGGGCAGAAAGGCTCGCCTTTATCCCTTCTGATATGCTATCTAGTATTTAAAATCTAAACGCACCACAAGAAGTCATAGAAGAGACTGGAACAGCTGTACAGGATTTCCAAGGCTCTGGTATGGCGCTGTGGGTCAACGCGCTGCACTGCAAAGTTCCTGTGAACCTCAAAGTCGGCGGTTCAAGTTCACCAGCCGCTCCTCGGAAACCTTATACAACGACTCGACGGCTGCCTCATCTTACTCCCTCGAGGCGGGGGCTACGGACCCCCATAGCTAGCAACCTAACACTTTAACCACTCGGTCTTTATTCCGATGGCGTATGCGAGCCTTCAAATGCCTTACTTTATGTAATTCTCACACACCATGAACCGTGTGTATGGGCAGGCGCACGGAATCAGGTGCGGCCAGCATCCCCTTTGACCCCACACCTGCCTTCCCGGCCTCAGCGCCACCTGTGCAAAAAGAGGAGCGCGGGAGATTGCTCTGCGCAAGCGCAGTGAGGCCTCAGGAGCATCGTGGCTTGCCGCGTTGCGCACTTCCCTGCACAGACGCTAGGCGGCGCGGCAGCGTCCACTCAGACCTAAGTGGCAGATCCCTCCCTTTGGTTTGCTATTTTTAAGACTGGAAAGCAAACAGAAAGGAGAAAGCTCATTAAGTGAATTTCAGTTACAAAAATAAAGCCAAACTGTTTTCAAAGCACATCAAAGAAAAAAACCGGAAAATTCTGAAGCAATAAATGAAGATGAAGTATACACATACATCAAAGAGGCTGAGTGGGCCAGTGGAGCAGGGAGAAAGTGGGTGTGGGGGGGTCCTGACCCCAGCCATCCCCAGTTAATGTGAACTAGACTCAACTCATGGCCACCCCATGTGTGTCAGAGTCGACCTGCGCTCCGCGGGGTTGTCAGGGGCTGATTTTCCTGAAGGTGGACATCAAGCCTTTCTTCTGAGGATTCTCTAAGCAGACTGGACTGGAACATCCAACTTTTCTGAGTAGACAAGGGCATTAACCACTTGCACCAGCTCTAGGGTAGGCTTGGGCCTCCTCTCAGCATTTCTCCCAGCAGCGGAAGGCTCTGTGTGAGGGAGGGGCCCCCACCCTCACCCCCAGGGCACATCCCTAGGCTGCGTCTGGTACCACACTTGGCAAACGTGAGTTTGAAAAGCCTTTCTTTTTACTAACAACTGTTGTCTACATCATCCTCTAGTTTCAACGACAGCAGGGTTTGTCACCTGTTGAAAATGAAGAAGGGACATACAAGGAACATTCTGTTGTAGCGATTTGAAGACCACACTAAGAACCCACCCGCCGACGGATCTTACTTGGTGTCTGCGGTGGCCACAACATCCACCCTGGGCTTGGCCCGAACCAGTGCCGTCTTCATCCTCATCTCTGCCACTGCGGGCAGAAGGACTGGTACAGCCACGCAGAAGAGCGAGAGCCTGGGGGGCAGGGCCGTCCCCGATGCCGCCTTCTTTTTCTGGCCAAACAGGAATTTCAACTTTCCCTGAAACTGCATGGTCTGGCGTTACAGAGACAGAGATGAAAAAGTGAGTGAGCAGCGTGGTCCCTGGGCACAAGGGCCGACTCACATTTTCAGGGGCCAGAGCTGTGGTCACTCAGCAGTTGGCCAGTGTGTTCCTACGTGTGCTGGTGACCCACACAGGTGTGCATGAGAGCACCTCGACCCAGCCCACCTCAGAGCCATCAGCCCAGGCAGGCTATCTCTGAGGACCATGTGAGCATTCACTCCACTTGGAAATCATGATTCTACATTTATAGTGACAACACTTAGGGACAACTAGATTTCATTTATCTAGAGCGTGAAACCAGAAAGCCAGCGAATTCTTTAGGAGATTGTGATAAGAGAACATAAAAGGTTTTCTTTATGTGGGAAGGTGGATCTATGACTGGGTTAGGTACAAGTGCCTTTTGGGCATTGCATCCTAGATGGAAGACTAACACCATAGCATGGTCCCACTCTTCCAGTCCTTCCTCCCACCCACCCAGCCTTCTTTCCTTTCTCCCATCTATGCATCTGGACATTCATCCTTCTGTCAGACCACCTGTCCTTCCTTTCCTTCAGTCCATCCAATCTACCCTTCCTCCCTCTATCCTTTCCTTCCATCTATCCATCTATCCATTCACCCTTCCATCCATCCAAGCATCTCCATCTGTTCATTCACACTTTCGTCCATCAGTCTGA